TGGCCTTGAATAGGCCGGTTATACTATATCTGTAACCTGTAGTTAACATCAGTGTCTGTCTCGTGCGATTTCTGCACATGAAGAGCTTAGGTCATGTCGTGAACCTTCATTTTACTTTGTTATGTTGTATAAGTACAACAGTCTATTCAGCAATGGAATCCTGGCACATATTATAGAGTGTAGACTCTTTAACTCTCAAATTTCAGTTCTTACCCTTACCTCTTTGATTCAAGTCCCACACAAAATTAGCACAGGTCCTTTAAAATAGGATAGTTTAAATTTGATTACGTTTAAAAAGGTAATAACTCCATGAATATCTTCTCTTATCAGCAAACTAAATCCTAGTCATTTTCAGTGGTTGAGATTTTCCTTGAGGGTCTCTCTAATGGGTGTTAGTAAGTGTTGGGCAAAGAATACACAAAAAAATCAAGAAAAAAATGAGTGATAAAATTAATAACAAAAGCTATCATGTATTGTTTATCATATGCCAGCCATTGTTTTCAGCACTTTTTGTGGTTTAATTTAGTTTACAAATGATTCTATGCTTATTTATTATCTCATTTGATAGTATGAGATTATAGTAGAGGAAATCCAATGGCATGTGTTACTTCTGCCACTCTTTTGTAGAAACTAGTCATGTCCTGGATTGATCCCTTCTTCGAGTATGATGGGAGACTTTGCCCCCTTAGAGGTCATAAATTTTTTCTATTCGAACGCCTTGCGCATTTTTTAATTGGGCTGTCGTTTTATTGTTGGCTTGTAATAGTTCTCTGTGTATTCTAGAGACAGGTCCTTTACCAGACATGATTTGCTAAAATTTTCTTCCATTTCGCGAGCTGTCTTCTCATGTTCTTGATTCCACTCTTTTACTTTTAACCTAAATATATGGTTATATTTGATGTGAGATTTTGTAGACATCTTATTAAATCATTTATTTAACCCATTCTGGCAATGCCTTTTAATTGGTATGCTTAGGCAATTTACTGATAGGTTTGCATGTAGGTCTAAATTTATTATTCATTTTCTGTTTGATCCTTTTTTGATTTTTCCTCTTTTACACTTTCCTGCCTTCTTTTGTGTTACCTGGACATTTTTTTTAATTTTCTTGTGTTTTTTTTTTTGTTTTTTGTTTTTTTTTTTTTTTTTGTGCCTTTACATTAATCGCTCTATGGTTAGCATAGGCTGACATTTCTGTTTGCAGTTTTGATTTATATTAAATATGTTTATTGTTCCCTTTTTCTTATGAAGCCAAAATCCATAATCTTCCTTTTCCTTTTTTTAATCTTTGATGTTCTGTTCCCCAAAGTACGTTGTTCAGAACACTAATATCATTACATATCCCTCAAGAATATCCCTCAAGAATATCCTGTAATCAAATATATTTTGAAAATGCTGTATGACGTATGCACTTAAAAGGTTTCGAGTATATATTAGAATAATAGAATGTATGCATGTATATAAGAATAATGAAATTTATAAGTTCTGAAGTAAAGGAACATTACATTTTGTTTAATTGAGCATTCCCTAACATTGTTTTGATCTTGGATAACACTCCTCTCCCTCATACCTAGAGATGATACTTAAAATATTTAACAGCCAGTATGTTGGCTTATCAGCCAGCCTGCTGCTCAACTGTCTGTCTCTCCTCTGCTCTTTCAGAGCCCACATCCCTAGGAGACTGCAGTTCCCACAACTGACCATGCGAAGATAACTGGAAGCATCTGTTAGCTGTGAAGGGGGTTTGCAGATGGGCACTAAGAATTGCCTTCCAGGGTGCAGTGCCTCCTCCAAGGTCATTGCCTCCTTCACTGGGATTGGCTTAGGCACTGACCAGTGAAAACAGGTGCTTCTCATAGTTCTAGACCAAGTTCCTTGTGGACGTCTGTTGTGCCAGCCCACAATCTTTTGGTTGCTGGACTATAAGGAGATCTAAGAGGTCTTCAAGGGAGAGGTCATGTGGGAAGGCTGGCACAAGTGCTACACAGAGAACTTGGTGCAGTAAATGTTTACCAACTGGTTTGCAAGGGTTGGAATTTTTCATTTCTGTACCATTGTACCAATGTTTCTTAGATGATTGTTGGTTTTACCCATGACGCATGTCAACACTATCTAATTCTAGTTCTATGGGACAATCATGGACAATGGCTAGTCTATGTCACTTTGGGTTTGTGGAAATGCATCATTTTTTTCTCTTTCTGTTGATTATTGCAATGCCATAATGTTTAAATATGTAGCTTTGCTGGAATTGAGAATTAATAAATTTTGACTTAGTTTTTGAGCTTTGAAAAATCAAGGGGTAAGAGTTAGCACAAAAAGTCATGGTAGATACCTGGAAGGATCTAGACTGGTAATGTTATAATAAGACAAAAGTGTCCAATAACATATTGTAAGCTCTCTGAAAAAAAATTGCTAACATAAATTTGAATTAGTTACTCTATTATCATCTTGTCACTTTGGGATTCTAGTTAAATGCACACACACACATGCACACATGCACACACAAATGAGAATGATTTCCTATAGAATCCTTATAGAATAATCCATATTTGTCTTTGTTTTTTGAATGTAAAAATATTTATTGAGTAGCTCAGGGATCAAGTTATTAGAAATTATAAAAATCTTATCATCACCTCTCTATACACTGTCCCTACTTCTCTAGCCTTCTTTCTCTTCACCCGACTAGGAAAAGTGAGCCATTTTCTCATTTCCAACATAGTTCTACTGACCTCCACCTATCACTAGGCAAAAAAATGTGTATATTAATGTAGCAAGTATTTGCACATTTCATCCTCCTCCCATCCCCCCCAGGTGCATCCATTTGTTCTTGAACTTGTGAATATTATTCAGAATAATGAATAGAAAAAGCTGTCTAAATAAAAGAGCTAGAGAAAGGCAGGGCAGCATGGAGTTAAATGAAAGGCTACTGAAATTTTGGAGACAAACAAGTCTTAGTAAAGAGAGAAAGTTCCTTTCTTACTTACCTTTTTTACTTCTTACTTACTCCAGTAAGGCCAGGGCAAGAATGGAAAAAAAAAAAAAAAGTCAAACACTAAGACTGGACTGAATAAGGAAATAAGTCTCAGATAGAAATTTCTTAAAGAGTAGGAGGAAATGTCACCTCAGCATGAGTTTGGGGAGAAAAAGATGGATATAGAAGGGGGATTTAAAGAAGTTTGTTGTGATCCATGGATAAGATCTCCTGTGAAAGAATTTTGGAATGCTCTTCAAATATTCTTAGATATCAAGCCAATGTTTTTTTTTTGTTTTTTTTGTTTGTTTGTTTTTGTTTTTTTTGATTGGGATAGAGCACGTAATGGTACTGAAAAAAGCCAGTTGTATCTTTGGGTTATACAAGGTGTCTTCTAGTTTATAATGCTTTTACCAGTTCCCTTTTCTAAAGTCCTACCCATTTTTCATTTCCAAGGACCATCGTCTTTTTGAAAAGCTTTTCATAATACCCCAATCTTTAGTGATTCGAGATATCATCTAAATTCTATAAAGTACTGACTCTTTGTAATATATACAGATACATTACATATTATATAACAGTGCATAATTGTGATAATATAATATTGTCTATAATATATATGTCACTATTTAAAATATGTTTGTAGAAAGGGTAAACTAAGAATTTAGTTTATGTATGTATGTATATATAATTTTAGGGGGAAAACTCCTGGATCCTCAGTGTCTGGTCCATCCAAAGTAAGTTCTTAGTGCATGGTGATGAGATTGTTAACATGAATTTCTTTTATTTAGTCTTTCTGGCCTATAGGAAAATGCAATTTTTATTAAGATAAAAAATTAATGAAAGTGATTATATTCTTTGTTTTTCTGATTAAACCAACTTTATTTTCTAAGCCTTGTTAATTCTTATTTGTATCATTGCACTTAACATAACTTTATATGTCTATTTATCAAGTAAAGGTGTTGAATGTTGAGAATAGTGTCAATGTGTTATATCCTGATATTTACACTGGGCCTGGTACATTTTAGGAGCTCTATAAATATGAATGAATGAATGAATGAATGAACAAGTGAATTACATTGGGAATCTCCTATATGTAAAAAGAAGGCAGAGAGGAATTTTTATACTTGTTTCCTTTAAATTAAAAAAAAAAAATTGCGGTATAATGTAAGTAACACAGAGCTTAGGGCCGGGATACGTGGATTCAAACTCTAGCTGACCATCTATCAGCTATCTTCTTTGACTAGGTCACTTAAGTTCTTTCAATCACTTTCTTCAAATACAGATAATGTTCTCTACTGGTTGTAATGATGATCTAATAAGATTACAATTCTGAAATATATAATAGAGTTTCATAGAGAAGATGATTAAGGCCTATTTATTCAGTCTAAATTAATAAGTTATTGATGAATGGCTAGATAATGATGAGTGAATCTCCAGAAAGATAAGGTCAGTGCCAAGAAGTAATATCCTTCTTACTCCACGTTGCTTAACACTGGAAAAGTCCACTGAATATGAGTGAAATTTCACATATTATTAAGACATTTTCTTCCTCTTAAACAATAGGACAAGACTGAATGACCTTTGAAGAGACCTACTCACCATCTATTCTATGACTCATGAAAGAAAATATACTTTGTAGATAAATCCAGAGAACCTGCGTCGCCATTGTACCGAGATAAAGCAAAAGTTTGGAAATGTCAAACCTAAATAAAAGCTCTTTATTTCTTTGGTCAACTCAAGGGACACCCTCATCTCTTCATCTTTTAAAATTAACCACATCCTTTATGCAATGTGCATACGTTAAGGAGCAGTAGAGAGATGGAGTTTTAATTTTTACCAATTCAATTTAAATGCAAATGTTAACCACTCACATGATGTTACTGTGTACATAATTAAGCATCATTATATACTACATGAATCATTTAGAAACCTCCCGAGAGCCATTCTACTATGTAAAACATGCATTATACTGACAAGCAGCCAAATGACGTATACTTCTGTCCTCATTAATGCTCCTTTTAAATTATAGGTCAACCGATTATGGGACAACCTATGAGAAGCTGAATGATAAAGTTGGATTGAAAACAATTTTAAGCTATCTCTACGTGTGTCCTACCAACAAGCGTAAGGTAAGAAATGTATATTCAGCATGCTGCTTATTCCTGATGCGACTTCTGCCTTGGTTGGCTAATCTCTCTAGCCACCTAGAAATCCATTACAGTTAAGTTTTAAGAGATGTAAAGATGAGATGATGGATGTTAAAGTGGTAAAATGCCTGACACATTGTAATTTTCAGATCAGTAGCGGTGACTGTAGAAGGGCAAGAGGTAGGTATATCATTACCATTTTAAAGGCAGCTACAGGGAGTGAGTCTTGTTGGGTGGATGGTGCTGTCTCTCATGGAAGAGTGCTGACCAGTTGGTGACAAGAATTAGAATGAGCCTTGACAAAACAGAAAAAAAACATATATGAGATTTTCCTGTGATATCCCTCTGTTTTCACTTGACATGGAGTGAATAACTAGAATCAAAGTGAATTCATTGTCCTACAGCAGGTTGGACGTTTCATTTCTAAAATTTATTCAACCTGCGTACAAATGCCAGGATGGAGCCCTGCTGGGAGGAACCTTATGGGTCACCATATACCACATCTTAATTTTACAGATGAGAAAACTAAGGTTTAAAGAAAGGAAATGATTTGCTCCCATTGCAGAGTTAGGGCACAATTGAGACTAAAATTCAGATTTCTCAGTTGGCAGTCATACTGCGTCCACTACGTTATACTGCTCCTATTAAGAGAGTTTATCTACTCTTCAGAGAGAATTGCTATTTTCTTCAGAAGAAAATGTTTGCTTTTTAAAAAGAAAGACTTATTTGTCTCAGGAGGAGAGTGGTGCTACATCCATTGTTTGGTTTTAAAAACTTGTGCTATCAAATTCTGAATTCTGATATAATTTCTAAGTATTACAGGAATTACATGAAATAATAGTATCCATCAAGAAATAGAAAAATGCTGTTCATTAGTATGTCCTAAGCTATATTCTGCTATCGTGAAAGCACTGACATCTAGGTTTTTGTTTCAGATCTGTCAGTAGTTACTGTTAGTGGCCTTAGGTAGGTTCTGCATTTCGTTATCTGCACTGTTGAAAGCAGATGAAAACATCTCTAAACAATTATTCTCAACTCTGGCTGTACCTCCAGGACACCAGGTGGTCCCCAAATGTGCAGGCTCTGGTCCCACCTTGTTGCCGTGGCTTAGGACTCAGGTAACTGTACTTCGAGCAAGCTCCCCAGATGCTTCTGGTTTGTATCTAGGGTGCAGAACCACTTATGTCGAGTGTAATGTTCCCTCTGAGTCTAAACATTTCAATTTCTTCAGTAGACACTGTTTAACTTAGCAGTTGCATAGAAGCTCTGGTCAGATGGCTTGAGTAAAAAACCCAGCTAAGCCAATTAACAAGTGTACAGCTATGTTGACTTAAACTCTCCAAGCACAGTGTCATCAAGTGTAAAATAGGAGATAATTCTGGTACCTGGCTCATGAGGAAAGTTGTGAGTATTGTATGAAATAAGGCATTTCAAGTGTTTAACATTAATAAGGTTTAATCAATGTTTTCTCTTTACATTTTCTCCTTTTTTTCACCTTCCCTTCCTCCTTCATATAATTATTGGAGGCAATAGTAGTGATTTTTCCTCTGTAAATAGCAGTGTTCATTAGAACTTTCTACAGTGATAGAAATGTTCCTCTAAGCTGTCTAATACTGTCGACAGTAACCACTTTGGGACTGTTGAGTATTTTAACTGCGGCCGCTATGACTGAGGAACTGGATTTTACATTTTATTTATTTTTAATTAATTTAAATGTAAATACCCACATTGGCTGATGACCATAGTATTAGACAGCACAGTTCAATAATGCCATCCTCACGCATTTAGAAACATACCCTGGACATTCTTATCATCCCCTTACTGGCTGATAACTGGTCCATCGTCAGCGATTACACATAAACAATTTTGATCTGCTGTGTACAGTCATACATTGAGGAGCTAAACTCATATCCTTTATTTTTATAATGAGATTTAGTTAAGTTTGCTGGCTTTCAATCAATTCTTGTAATCCCTATTGATTTTTCCTCTAGCTCATATTTTTAGTAAATTTCATTTAGCAATCAACAAACTGTAGGCACCATTGAATATAGAGAAATATGCCAGCATTCCACCCTCAATAGTCATGTATTCTAGTAATAAAATGCAATATGACGTTTTGTAATTGAAAGGTCTCTTGACTCTACTTCTACCTAGCAGATAACTTTGGGTTAGTCATTTACATTTTCCCATTTGTAAGGTAATTAGGAAAAAAAAAAAAAAGAATTTACAGCTGGAAGAGACCTGAGAATTGATCTCATCTAGTGATAGTCTCTGTTTGATGCGGTTAGAAAGGAATATGATTTTTTAACTAAGATGTCGAACATTGAAGGTGAGTCTAGGTTTTTCTTTAGCAGCACACCATGTGGTGGTGATCTGGAGATTTTAGGATGGTTTGCAGTGGCAGGACTTAGAGCATGAGACTCGCCAGTCCCAATGTTGTTCCTACAACAGAAAGGAAAGCTTAGTCAGAATTCCACAAGGAACCCCACCATTGAATCCACTCATGTCAGTATGCCAGTATGAGTCAGGCTGCGCACTTAATCTGTAGTTATCTGGAGGTTTTTAAGGAGGGCATTTGGCCAGGGGCATTTAGCTGAAATAAAGACTTGGCCGAGCCTACTTCCAGAGTAAGAAAAGTCGTTGCCCACAACTATGGGAGAACACTGTCCACGGAGCCGGTTACCCTCTAGAAGCAGAGTCAGGCTTCAGCTGTTTAAATCACAGTGTTTATGGGAGAACCTGAGAGAAGGGATCTTTTTCCTCTATAGATAAATGAGATCTTCAGGGTCACTTTCTGCAATGTTGACAGATTTAAGAAATATTGGAGGACGATGAAGGTCTTTACAATGGTGCAAAAATTCAATAAAGTTGACATAGCAGTAAATTTGTGTACAGTGTTTCTACTGAGGTGAATTTATCGCCATGAAATATATATTTCCCCCACCTCAAAGGGACATATGCACATATGCAGACCAAAGAGAGTTCCTGCACAATATTTTAAAGTGTGACTATATTTTCCCAATTGATGAGAACTTGTTTACAAATAAAGAAGGAAAAGGAGGAGAAGAAGAAAAGAAAAATCATACTCTATTAACTGTGCAAGACAAAGGCACTTAAGTTGCTTTCAAGTCTCCCAGGAATTTCGTGTCCTCCAGTGAAAAGGCAGGCCCTGTAAAGGGTTATATTAATTATTTGAGTTCTCCAGGGTGCTATCTAGCAAGTTAACATCTTTTGTACCAGATACTTCTATCTGCTTTTCACGTCTGTAGGAGCAACTGGAATAAAACTGACATTGGGATAACTGTTTTCGTTCCCAGAAGCCTGTTTTGCCTTCATGTTCTTATTGCTATTTTTAGTTTCTTATAAGGATAAGTACAGTTCTTCAATCAATGTGACTCCAGCAGTGGGCATCATGCCCTGGCTTTGCAGGCAGCTTGTTAGGGGCATCACTGGGATCAGAGTCCAAAACAAAGCAGCTCCTTATTTACAGTTTAAATTGATGATCGTCCATTGGCTGTTTTGCTGCAAGCCTGCTGTAAATTACAGCAGCTTTCCTTGGGTACATCTGTTACAGTAAAAACTGTAATCCCATCATAGGTCAGTCTAGGAAATGTTGGCTAAGAGACATAGAAAGCCTGCTTCCAGGGTTTGTCCTAGCTCGTGCATACTTTCTTTCAGAAGGAACCCTGCATCTGGTCTCTGAGGTATGAGGTGGGCTCAAAGGAACAGGGATGGGTGGATCCTAGTGGCAGGAGAGAGGCAGGCTCCTTATCTGTCACCATGTCTCTGAGGGAGAGCCCTCCTCCACCCCCACCCCAAGTTCATGGCAAATCTCAAGGCTTGCTGATGTCAGTAGTGGTTTATTGGTTATGTACATATAGTCTTCTATGAGGAAAGATAATTTAACCTATGCCCGAAATGAACAGCTGGGATCTAGAGGGTGATGGAAAGAACTAAGACAAATGTAGCAAAGAAAAAAAAAAATCAATATTGAAATCTCAGTCTCACTCTTAAATTTTCACTGAGTTTATCTGTATTTTGCCTTAAAAGAAAACTTCTTTATACTCTGTGTGTATCTATTAGCAATACCTTCCCCAACACCCCCAACCAACCTTAGCTATTCTCCCTCCATGAGGTGTTGTTAACATCTTCAAGGATTAAAAAATATAAAATTCTAAGTGGAATTCATTGGGAGAGAAGGGAAAAAAAGTGTTTTCCTTTTTCTTTTTCTTTCTTTCTTTTTTTAACTTTGAACAGTCATTTAGTTGTTAGATCCTCATACTCTGTACACTATGTTCCAAGCAAAGAAAAAACCTAGAAAGTATATGTTCTTTAGATTTCCTGTGCCACCTCCACACCCCTGTTCTTTCTCCATTCTGTGTTATCACCACTGAATTAATAAAAAAAATCCTGCTGAGAAAGCCTTGAGACTTTCATCCTATAAATAGGACCCTACCTCTTCAGAGCACATCGATCATTCTTTTGGGTCTCTTGGTATATGCCAACATTAAACACTGTGTTTTCTCCAGATGTTTAGGTTTTAATGACCATACTGTAAGTGGCATTTTCTAAATAAGCATTTAATTATTGACTCCTTGCTGCTTCTTTTTATGTCCTGGGCATGCTTAATTCTTTTCATATTGTCATTTGCTTGGGTGGTCTATATCATGTATGTGACTTTTGGGGACAGGAAAAAAGTGTGGTCGATAGAATCTGCCAGCTTCTCTTAGGGAAAGTGATGGAAGCACTGAATCTGAACCTAAAAGGTGTTGGAGGTATTCAGATTCTGCTTTTTCACTTAACAGACATGGAAACCACGTCCTAGAGAGTTTAGTGACTTGCCTGAGGTTGCATGCAACTGCTGAATAAAATTCTAAGATCATTAGACCTTTAAAGTAAACCTCAAATGCCACCTAGTCCATCAAATAAAATCAATTCCACTAATGAGATTTTCTTACTCTCTCTGATTGCCAAGGCATCTG